TGGGCGACTTCAACGCGAAGATCGGGATGCCACTAGAAGAGGAATATGGGATCGGGAAGTTTGGATATGGGCTCCGGAACGAAAACGGCAACCGTTTCGTTGGGCTTCTCTCCGCCGCACGACTTTTCCATGGAAATTCCATCTTCATGAAGAAAGAACATCGCCGGTGGACTTGGGAATCGCCCATCGGAACGACTCACGCGGAGATCGACTACATACTCACCAACCGAAGGTGGAGCTTGCTCGATGTCTCAGTAGTTCCACCCTTCTGCAGTGGCTCCGATCACCCCCTCCTTCGAGCGAAGATACGATTTAGTCGAAAACTGGAAAAGAAAGTCTGTCACAGCGCCGCGAGAAGGAAGGAAGTCGTTTATGACGGTAACAGGCTGGAAGAGCTCATATCAAGTTGTGACTGGCCCATCGAGGAGGACCCAACTTACGACAACGACCGGCTTCTGAAAGGATTGCGAGCTTGCGGAGAGTCCGCCTCAGTAACTTCTGAGAAGAACTTGGAACGCAATTCGATGACCACCAAGGAATTGCTCGGAAGAAGAAGACTTCTGAGGCAGGATCTGAATGCAGCCCATCTCGAGCGACTGATAGCCAGTTGCAGAACAGCTTTGCAGAAGGATCTCAGGAAGTACAGGCAAGTCAAGATACTGGAAACAGCCGAAGAAAGACGAAGTCTCAAGAAGTGCCGAAGGGACCTCTGCGAATATCATGTATCGCTGGCTGCACTATTGAACGAAGACGGGACTCCGATTTCTTCCCGATATAAGATAGAATCTATCGCGAAGAACTTCTACACCAACCTCCCGCTCATCAACACCCGTGCCGATGCCCGTTGTTCCCGCTGGGGAGGTAACACCAAGAATTCTACCGCTGAAGTGCGTATAAAAGAATTCTACCGCTGAAGTTGCGATACAGACCATGAAGATGTCCAGATGGCTCCATGACTAGATCATCTTTCCGTCGATTCTGCGAGCCGGAGGACAACGTCTACACGAGGTTCTAGCATCGCACATAACATCTTACCTTCAAAAGGAGAAGATTCCCGACTAGTGGAGAACATCAAGAACCGTCCTTCTCTCCAAGAAGGGCGAACGGGAGGATCTTCGGAACTACCGTCCAATATGCGTGCTGAGGTGCTGTACAAGCTTTTCACGAAGGTTATCCTCGCTCGCATATCTAGGACACTGGATGAAGCTCAACCTCAAGAACAAGCTGGATTCCGTAGGGGATTCAGTTGCATGGAGCACATCCAAACGGTTTCGAGGGTCACAGAAGTCTGCCGAGAATACCGACTGCTTCTTGTCCTAACCTTCGTCGACTACGAGAAAGCCTTCGACAGCGTCGAGACGAACGCCATTCTGTCAGCGTTAGTCGATTAAGGAGTGGACCTAGCTTACGTGAGGACACCAGCCGACTGCTACAAAGGATGTGCAACAATGATGCAGCTATTCCATCGTCCCCTGACCATTCCAATCGGAAAGGGGGTTCGACAGGGCGACACTATCTCGCAGAATCTGTTCACCGCGGCTTTGCAGTGGGTAATAAAATCACTGTATTGGGACGAGAGAGGCATACGAGTTGATGGGAGATTCCTGTCCAACCTTCGTTTTGCGGACGATATCGTCCTCTTCTCAAACAGTATCACTAAAGCAGAGACGATGCTGAAGGAACTAAACGAAGCAGGTAAGAAGATCGGATTGCGAATAAATCGGAAGAAAACTCAGTTCATAAAGAAGCCTTTTGCGAAGATGCAGAAATGGAATTGGAAAGCACCCCTATTATTGAGACGTCTTCTTACGTGTACCTCGGACGTTCGATGAACATGGAGAACGACTTGAGGGAAGAACTTAACAGGAGAAGAAGAGCAGCCTGGGCCGCCTTCGGGCCTCTGAAGGAAGCTAGACCAACTGACGGACCAGGAGCTTCGTGCTCACCTGTTCGACTCAACCGTTCTCCCGGCACTCTGTTACGCAGCTGAGACTTGGGCCGACACTGTAATCACGTCGAAAGCTTTACGGACCACCCACCCACAGAGCGCTCGAGCGCAGTCTTTTGAAGATGACCCGATGCAAGCAACATCTAGTCGGACTTCGCAGTACGGATATGAGAAGAATGTCCCGTCTTCGTGACCCAGCGGATTACGTTGCGAAAGCGAAACATCGATGGGCCGGTCACATCATGAGAAGAACAGAGGACAGATGGACACTAAGAACATCTGAGTGGATTCCTCGCGAAGCCAAACATCCTCGAGGAAGACCACCGACGAGATGGGCAGACGTGTCCGTGGAACGGATGAACCAGCTAAGAAATCAGCTGAATACGACTTTCGCGCCTGTCGTGGACGGAGCCACCGATGACAACCAAGAAGATGGGATGTCTGAAGCGAGGGGCAGGGATCAATGGCAACTTTTGTGTTGAGGCCCGCACGACACGTGAAGACGGGCCATCTAAGGCCCGTATGCACGTACATCCCCGCGGGGAGGGGAGGGGATCTAAGAGGGGAAGCGTCATATCTCGCTAGTCTACATATCTTTCTTCTTCTTTCTCTATCTTGCTTATGAGGTTTCTCAAACACTGATACCTGCGCATAACGGATGCCACTGCCATACAAGATTAGATATCCTTACTACTATTCTATTACTCTTTCTTACTATTCTTATTATTACTATTCCTTCTGATCCCCTGGGGATCCCCAGGGGATCACATCACATTTTCGAAGTCATCTATCTTCATGGAAACTGAATGAAAACGCTTTCTATACTAGATATACTACGATACTGCTGAACACGTTTTCGACAGAAGAAATGGAGTCTGAAGATTTTTGATTTTTTCGATGATCCCTGGCTCGCGAGCAGCGGTTCATCGAAAACTTTGATGTCTTAAGATCTCACTCATTTCTACCATAAACATGTTTAGCAGCGCTGTAGTATATCCTCAGTACAATTTTAGAGAATTTTCATTGATTTTTAGGAAGATAAATGACTTTGAAAGTGTGAGGTGATCCCCTGGGGATCCCCAGGGGATCAGACAAAATTGTGAATATCTAATCTTGTATGACAGTAACCTGGCATCCGTTATGCTCAGATATCAGTGTATGAGAACCTTCAAAAGCAAGATAGAGAAAGAAGAAGAAAGATATATAGACTAGCGAGATATGACACTTCCCCTCTCAGATCCCCTCCCCTCCCCGCGGGGATGTACGTGCATACGGGCCTAAGTATCTAAGTAAGTAAGAAGGCAAAAGTGAGAAAGATGTTAACTCTACAAAGTATGAAGGTCCCTTACCCCTACACCTTCAAGACCCGGAACTTCACCTGAAGTCGGGGCGAAGTCGGTGTAAGCGTAAGGCTACTTTTTGTTATCGATCGATATCGATTTCATCCATTTTTACCGATTTTTACTGAGCTTGAGCTATGGGAGTTGCCAGGAGGTAAGATTACGCTGATTACGAAAACAGCCAACACTAGTTCAAAGCCAGAAACAAGCACACCTCATCTAAGCAGTTATTGTACGTCATACGTTGCTAACCGGCTCAAATAGTTTGGGAGTGATCTTTGAATGGGGACGCGACGGAATTGGCAAATTGGATGTGTAATTCGGGAACATTTTCCGTTCAAGAAATACAGGGTATCACACAATGCATATTTTTTACGTCAATGACTCTCTTCCCACAAAGTCTTTTGCTTGGCTTCATTTATCGATCTGTGGAGCTGGTCAAAGTAGATTCATAAAACCATAACCGTCGATCGATCTTGATTACTCTAAAAGCGTTGGATTCGTAGTGTAAACATAAACTGAAGCCTCTTTATGGAACGGTACTTGAAGTCGAGCAAAAGAAGCAAAAAAATGGGAGAAGAGGGTTACCGACGATTAAAATGTGTGTATCTTCGGCTCCACGATCTGTGTAGAGACGGAGTCGTAGCAGCTCAAAGCGTGTCGCATTTTGGTAGCGTGAGATACGACGACAGTCTATAATAAGAAGTTTTTAAGCCTATAATTATGAACAGGGAAGGTCTCTACACGAATCTTAAAGCCATTCTTTTTACTTTTGAGAGACTCCTTATTAGTGAACCGGAACAAAACAATGGTTCACTTTCAGAGTATGCCGTTTGAAATTGTGCATTCTTACAGTATGTTCAGTCCCGCAAGCGCCTTTAATGGTTACTTCTCTTTAGTTTTTTGCAGTAGCCTTGTTCCACTTACGACAACTTCATTGTACCTCGACGGTCACTCTAACAAGAAGAGCGTGTAGTCCTTCTTAAACAGCCCCTCCTCTGGTAACCAGCCTCGAGAGTTTTTGCTGCAATGTTGACCCTATCGACACGCTTATCTCAACAGTATCTGGCATAGTTTAATTTTACTCACAACTAACTCGGGAGCAGTTGCTTGATGCCGTCATGTGCGGATATCCTTTACGACAGAATCCATAATGAGGCGACTTTCTTCCTTCCACCTTTCTCATGATCACGATGAGTTGTATACTTGCAGAAGTGGTTCACTGCTCGAGGACTTAAAACAATATCCGATGCATCGGGATGGCACGTTGAATCTGTAAATGGGGTAAACTTCTCACATTTTGCTTTTCCTAATTAGACACTTTTTAGGTGGCCAAGTTGATAGCTCTGCTCCTCTTGTTTCTTCTTACAAGAAGCAGCAATTGGTTAGTGTGTAACACAATTCTTATAGTCGTTCCCCTGCTTCTCACCTTCGTATATCCCGACGAGAAACCTCCACCGGAAAACATGAGAATTTACGGGTTAGACTTTTTCATAAGAAAATCAAAATACATTCACCCTCCTCTTTTCAGAATCTGCGCCCTTGCGATGACCGCATTTGATCGGATGCTAGAAGCCTTTCCTTTCTATTATGTCATCAAATTGTCCGCTCTCCTCTTTCTGTTAGTTGAACCCTCGTTTCTAAATGACAACATCAGAAAATTACTAACGGTTCCGGTGAGTTACAAGTATTGCGTGATACCCGCCTTCTGTCAGCCGTTTTCCAGGTAGCTTCTGCGAACCCGACAGGGCCGGAAGAGAGGAACGTGAAAACTGCGAAGCCGGCAGCACCGTGGTCCATTTTGGATTCACTCAGATCGGCAATCGCACCTAGCAGCCCAAAAGCACGGTCACTTCGCGGTCCTGCGCCTCCTCCTAAACCTGTCGAAGATTTGCGTCAATCCAATGCTACGTTGGATACAAGACCGTTAATGGCAGGACCAACGCAAGTTCCAATGAGCGAGTCCATAGGGCGTGCCTCTGTGGCCAGTGGCCCACCAGTCGCTGTTGGAGAGAAGAAGAGTGTGCCGTCAACTTATATAAACTTGCCAAAACCAAAAGTCGGTAGAAGGTCAATTCGTCTTCCGCCAGACAAGAAAAAGTGATTTTTTTGCGCGATATACCAAAGCAGAATTATTCTCGTATGCGTCAATAAACTCGTATCGGCATATGTTCGTACAAACTTAGCAGAAATTCTATGAATTTGTGGGTATGTAGTAGGAATGTTGCTTACGGACGAGTGTTCGTATACCGATAAGAGAAAGTTTGCACATGTGTATATTCTTGACCCTTTTTGAGGATTTTTGGGCACTTTTGCAACTTTTGTGGACCTTCTATCAGCATGGTTTGTTGACTCATATTCAGAAAATGAAAGTTTATCTCATAATATCATAGCAGTGCCACGCGGTCATGTAAATGAGAGCAGTGCATTTCATTTCCATCCGGCGGTAACAGCAGATAAGTGACTCTGAAGCTATTAGGAGGCGAATCACCTACAAAGGCACTTGCAGTGCTGTGTGCTTTACAGGGATAGAAAAGGGACAATGGAGAAGTAAAGCGACGTGAAGCGGAAGAGCGCGAAATTGAAGGTTGGGTAACATTTTGCGTGCATCTCTCTGTCAACATTCCGGCTACACAAGCAACTGGAATTGGAAGTGCCAGTTAGTTTATAACAAGCGGCTACAGTTTTGATGTTGGAACTCGTCAGCCATGAATGAAACTAACAAGGGAAGGCTACCGAGTCGCACTGGCGTTCAGCAAGGAGTACTGCGGTCCCCTTGCCCTGTTTACCGTCTAATCGAATACGGGTAGTGATGCATCATTAACGGAAACGCTGATAGCAGTTAGGAGAACGGTTGTCTTCCAGACTCAAAGTACCTGGTTCAAATCCCGTGAAACCATGGCTCTGTCTTTTCCGCAAACTTTCCTTTTTCTTTAAGTTATCTCAAATAGCGAATATCAGCAATTTTCGTCATGAATGCGTTTCGAAACAAATTTCTGCCGCAATAATGATCACAATCATTCGTATTCGTCTGTAGACAGAGCAAAATACGCGGAACCAGCAATCCGTAACTTGCTAACAAAACCGTTGCGCACATTTGGAAAGTGGATTAGTTATCAGTGTCAGGAATCATAACGATGTGCAGTTCCATGCTAAACGCCAGTGGGATTCGATATTCCTTACTCGTAAGATTATATTTGCTTAGCTACCAAGCATATTATCAAAACATCATTATTTTGAGCGCAGCTTATCCGAACAGATCAATGATGAAGGAAGGAAGTCGAAGAAAATTTATCAATGCCATCAAGGGGAGCGGCATCGCAATCGCTCACACAAGGAATTTGCAGAAGATGATGTTGGCTTGATGGGGACAGGTGTGCGCGCAATGCACACAAGTTTCGGAATAAGGCCATACCAGACCTTTATCATTGGCTCTTCCGCTCAAAGATGGATATACATGCTGATTTCTGCCAACTTCCATAACATCGTTGAAACAGCGTCTATTATTGAATTGAATGAGTTTTGTCACAGACTATTTACCGAAATCATACATGCTTATTCATGATCACGCGTAGCGTACCATTCGATAGGGCAAAGTAAGCTCTACAAAGTGGCGTGCGAACTGCTTTGACGTTGTACGCGGACTGGTAAGCAAGATGAATTATGAAATATTCAGAACTTTATGCAAAAAGAGTTCTACGGACATCTTATATTCCACATCAAACATTCACATATGCACTTATCCGTACTTCCTTTGTCTAGAAATCGGAAGAATGAAAACTTTCATGTTTTGCGGAAGCATTGGTGAGCACTTTTGACACCAGTAACGAGTCTAGAGGTATAACTATGATTTTATAGCCTTCTATTAGAGTATCCCATAATTTTTACCGTTTTTACCTTGAACATCAGGATTTCTCGAGATGGGGCACCTTCAAAATTTTCAAATACATGATCGTACTCCTGTATGTATGAGCTATATGATCACCTGTATGGGAGGAGCTCAGGACTTCTAGGGGCGGAGTTTGCCATTTTACCTCGATTATTTTTTCTTTATGGAAAAAATCATGGAAAAAATTTGAATAGTGTGCATGAATGTGCGATGTGACAAGCATATGCTAGGATAAACTGGGGATTTCTAAGATTTTTTGGGGAGGAGATACGATTTTTGACACTAAATTTCGTTTTTGACTGCTATCATGTTTCAGCTCAAAACCTTACCTGGATTACGAATTGTGCAAACTTTTGATAGCCATCTTGTAGAGCTTGCTTTGGCCTGTCGAATGGTTAATCAAGCCGCATTAATTGGAGGAAAGATACAAAAAGACGGCCGTAAAGAAGTAAAAACGGTAAATAATTATGGGACAACCTAATATAAGGTTCAAAGGTTCTTCGAAAAATGTTGAAATTAGCTCGCATCATTCGGCTTTTTGCCAAACTTGGTATTACCCGAAAACTAACTTTTGCAGTAGGTTAAATATTCACAGTTTTACTTCAAAGGTTCTTAGTATACAATCACCATTGTGGGAAACGGTCAACATTATTTTTTGTAAAAGCGTGAAAATTTTATCTCGAATTCTAGCCAAGGAATGAGTAAGACAACTACATATGTGAGTGATGTAAAATATGTGCACAAAGACTCTCCACTTTCTTGAGTGGATCTCTCTATATTTCTCAAATTCTTGGTAGTTTCAACAGGTGCAAATGTACAATTACTAGACAATACCTAAACACATACATTAGCTATGTCTCGAAAAAAAGTGCGATTATTTGCTCACAGTTTCCAGCCGGAAATATAGATGACGAATATTCGTAAAGAACTCTAAAAAACATGGCTGGAATCCTAATTGTACGATTGTTAGATACCTACATGAAGGAAGGTTTCGGATATCACATGAATATTTCGTAGAAGAAAGTCTGATGGAAAAGTTCAGAAATAAGGGTCTAGGAAAACGGACATTGTTGCGTAACAATTACAAAATGGTACGCAGGATAATTTACAAATTTCGTAAGTTTGATAAATGGTGGTATGCAGGATAATTTACCAAGTTCCGTAAATTGAATAAGCTCACCATCCCGCTATGATGCTTCAAAAGGAAGAATGACATCACTTGAGGTCATCCTTCCTCAGGTCTAAATTGACATGATACGCTCAAGTTTTTGTATTCACAAATATTACAGGAAGCCAAAAAGTAGAAAAAATTGTTGTTATCGTAACAACAAGAGAACATCATTTTCAGATAGGAGGGAGAGTGCCAACCATTCGCAATATGTATTTGGAGTATCTCTTCAGTGCAACGGTAAGGGCAGGAATTACCCATGCAAAGAGCGTCTTTCGAGATCTTGATTCTGTAATATACACTATACCCTAGAATCTATATATATATATATATATATATATATATATGTATATATATATATGTATACTAGCTGGCTTACCCGGCTCCGCCGTATCCGGACCAAACTTGGCACACATACACTTCGGGCCCCGGCGAGTGTCACAGTCCACTTTTCGTTATCGATCGATGTCGATTTTACCGATTTTTATCGATTTTTTTGCAGAGTTCACCTACAGGGCTAGGAGTTGGCACAGGGGGGAAGTGAGCATGGGGATTCCGAATACAATATTAGTTTTCAGAATTATCGATTACTTTTATTGATTTTATCGATTTTTTTTGTAAATTTTGACATGCGAGGCTGGGATTTTGCACAGGGGGTAATCGAGCATGCTGATTACGAACACAATATTAGTTTTCAGGATCGTTCATTACTTTTATCGATTTTATCGATTTTTTTGCTGAGTTCACCTACGGGGCTGGGATTTGGCACAGGGGGGTAATCGAGCATGGGGATTCCGAATACAATATTAGTTTTCAGAATTATCGATTACTTTTATCGATTTTATCGATTTTTTGCAAAGTTTGAGCTACGGGGCTGGGAGTTCGCACAGGGGGGTAATCGAGCATGCTGATCACCCCCCTTGGGGGTGATCAGCATGCTCGATTACCCCCCTGTGCCAAATCCCAGCCCCGTAGGTGAACTCAGCAAAAAAATCGATAAAAATCGATAAAATCGATATCGATCGATACGAAAAGTAGCCTATGACACCCGCCGGGGCCCGAAGTGTACGAAGTGTATGTGTGCCAAGTTTGGTCCGGATCGGTTCAGAAATGAAATTTTCTATTCGGAACATACGTACAGACAGACATACATACAGACAGACATACATACAAACAGACATTCAGCTTTACATATAAGATATATATATATCAGTGGCGTACCCAGGATTTCGGCTCGGGGGGGGGCGACAAAAATTTTTTCTAATGAAGGTTCGTGGCGTTAGCCACGCACTTCGAAAAATTTTTTGGGGTGCTTCCCAAAATTTCTGCGGGTCCCCGACCCCTAAAATCTGGAAAAAGGGGGCGTGGCTGAAGCCACGCCCCGAAACAATTTTTTTATAAAGCTAAAATGAATTTTTAAAAAATTTTAAGACTAATTTTAATTATTTGCAAGTATAAACAAGTCACTTGCACATTTTTATAACCCATATAAGTAACTTTCAAAAATTTCGCGACCCGTTCTCGGGGGGGGGGGGGGCGCGCGCCCCCCCCCCCTCGCCCCCCCCCCCTCGATACGCCACTGAATCAAACCGATCTTATTAAACAACTTTTTATAAGCCTTAGAAACTTTCTAAAGGTGTAATCAAATTTTTGAAGAGCATCGAAAAGTCGGCCATTATGGTGTACATGGCATGACTTATGCAAGAAGCATCACGCTGAAGTGCTGTTCCTTGTTTCCTTTTCATGCTCAGCCACACTGATTAACTCGTGTGAAGCCAGCTCTACAAATTAGTGCCTAAAACTTTTCGAGAGGTTTCTTGATAACAGAGTTATGGAACAGTAGTCATATTTTTTTGATTTCCTATATATTCTGAATCAGCTTTGAACGCTGATTTCAAATATGCTATTCTCAGTTGCTGCGCACTATTCCGAAGCGAGTTATGGGCTTTTTACTGCGCACATTTGGCATGTTCGTTGAGTTACTGGCATCATGTCATCATCATCTAAGTGCTTATAATCTTTCATTGAGTTCCCTGTCAGATATCCTAACACCTTTTTTGGAGATTTTTACCTACAGGCAGTCTTCATATGTTCAGTAGCATGCCATTTCCG